AGTTGATCCATGGGGCGGGCCAAGGCTCGGGGTAAGCCCCTCTTGGATCCGTCTATACCACATACAAAGGTCATTTTTTTCTAAAGTATTGGCAACGAAGCAGCAAAACACATATACAAAGGCCTCCAATTTAGACTTGTTAATCAATATGAGAAACTTGGAATTACCCCCAATTTAGTAGGTAAAAACATATGAAATTACGAAGTATTATTCAGATAATAACATTGAAGTAGTACATGAACGCATAGGAAACGTAAGCACTAGTGCAAGGAAGTTTTATTTAGCTATATTAGCTAGCTTGCTAGTAATTCAAGACCGCACCAGCATTATATTAGTTGAGCAACACAAGCTCAACCCCAAGTGACGTTAACTTCGATGGAGCCATACTTTCCGTTGATGGGTTGCTTCTCTTCCACACCAGGTCCTCTGACTAGAAACGTAACGGTACCGTTTGCAATTTCATCGTCGGGAGAAAGAGTATCATAATCCATCAAGTATGCTGTAATCTCCATTGCATCGGCGGCTTCAGGCACATTCACACTCGGCTGGCTTAAGGGAATGAATTCCCCTGGCCTCACGTCAATGCGTTGACTTTGAGGCCTATTAAACAGTGAAAATTGGTTACTGATTCCAAAGCGACCAGTTATGCTTCCGTAAACTTGTGCAGGATCTTCTCCATCGCCGTTGATGAGCTTAACACTCAGCGTAGCTTGAACATTGTTACTGAACATCACCTTTGTTGCTGCATATTCTTGAGTGCTGGCCATCTTTTGAGTATATTATTCTCCTACATACAAACCACAAATTATCAATTAAAATGAAAAAACACATGCTTTAGTGTCAAATACTAATTAAGATACCAATAAGACAAGGCCTAGTGGTTAAGACCGAAGGTTTGTGACTCTGTTTACAATATATCATTGTTTCGAATCACACACCCCTATTTGTAACTTGTATTGCCTTTGTAATCCAGTCGGACCAAAAGAAAAAAATACTAAACTATTTAAAATCAGTGAATTGAGCAAGCTAATTAATTAAAGAGATCAATAGCTTAGGCAGTTACCTTAATCAAGTATGACCTTCTTCTGTATGTAATCTGTCTGACTTGCAAACAATAATGCCATGCTTGCCCACCTTTATATAGTGGGAGAAGATGTGATGGAGGCAATATTTAATTAATTGATTCGATGATGTGATTCTTTGGGGCCTATATTTAGCTCATCAGAATGTGATTCTTAAGCATATACTCAAAACGTTTTGTTCTTTTAAATAAATTATATAATAATTTAATAGAATTTTTCAGTTATTACTTGGTTTTTGGGCACTGCAAATTCTATTCTTTGGGACCAATTATTATTCCAATAACCTTATCATCAAACTTTTTAAATCTATGCTCTTATCCGAATGTCATTCCTAAACTTGTCTCCCAAAACGTTTTGTTCTTTTAATAAATAAACAAGCATAAACTTTTTGGTTGTGCTTGTTTATTTATAAACAAGCAGAAATTTTTATGGTTCAGCAGACACCGTGTGATAGGAGTTATTCGATTTATATTGTTAGGAGTTATCCGAATTATTCAGTAAGGGGTTATTCAAGTTACTCAGTCAAGGGTTATTTAAAGGGTTCGGACAGGGGTTACTCGAGGGGTTCACTCGGTCAAGGGTTACTTGAGGGGTTACTCAGTCAGGGGTTACTCGAGTTACTCGGTCAAGGATTACTCGAGTTACTCGGTTAAGGGTTACTAGATCATAGGTTACTCGAGTTACTCGGTTAGGTTTTATTTAAGGAGTTCGGTCAGGGGTTACCCGAGTAATTCGGCCAACAGTTACTTACGGAGTTCGGTCAGGGGTTACTTGAGGGGTTAATCGGTTAGGGGTTACTTGAGAGGATACTCGGTTAGGGGTTACTCGATGGGTTCGATCATGGATTAATCGAGGGGTTACTCGGTCAGGGGTTACTTGAGGGGTTTACTCGGTCAGGAGTAACTCAAGTAACCCCTGTCCGACTAACTTGAGTAACCCTGACCGAGTAACTCGAGTAACCCCGACAACTCGAGTAACCCCTGGCGTATGGTACAGCAGGCCACATACAAAAAATTATACTTCCCATTATATGTACTTTATGATATATGCAAATTATATTGGTTAATAATGATTTATATTGATCAGTTTTTTCAAAGAAAGAAAATTGCTTCGCTTTAAGTAATGACCCAATTTTATCAAACACTAATACCTTTTTTTTTTCCTCTGTACATAATAAGGTTCAGGTCTATTTTATTCAACTTTTTCACTGATTTCGGGACAAATAAGATCACATGATTTCATATAATATATTCGAATTAGGAAAAGTAAGGGTTACCCAAATATAAAGTACAATTTATAATTAAACAACTTTATTTAATTTTAATAAGTACATATAACTGGGAAGAAAGTTGTTGAACTGAACTAAGTTAACGAGGGGGTGTTCTCCTTAAAATAAGTGCTACAGAGAAGTAGATAAGCCTACTTTATTGGTACGGAGAACTTTAGTTATGTCTGAGGGGAAGTTTTGTGGACTTGTAAACTACAGAGTATGTGCATATTCCTACTTTTTCCATATTCCAAACCCTAGTTCAAGGGACAATTTTTGCAAAATTTTTCAGTAATTCTTAAGTTCTATCATATTATATACAGAGTTGTATGATTGTATGAGTTTTCAAGTTGCTTTAGATCTTAAATTTACAATTGTATGAAGTTATGAACCAACATGGAAGTTCCCCGGCCACTTAGAGTGCTAGTGAAAGCAAGCTCGCCCTCCCTTTTGCCAGTAAAGCTAAAGGGCCGGATCAATCTTTCTTATTCTTAGATTTCTACTTGTTAAAATCATATATCGATACAAGTATACAACGTGCACCCATTGGATATTGTTGCTTGAGGACGACAAATGATTAGCCCCCACATCCGATTCTAACTATCAAATACCTAACATTTTCACGATTATGATTAAAGTCTTATCAAACATTTAGAATCAGAGGGAGTACCATACTATGGTCTCTTTTGTATGATCCCATTCATCGTCAATGCCCTATTTGTGATGGTCATTTGGTTAGTCTTGATTTTTTTTTTTTTTTTACACACGTATTTCACTTTTGCTATCGGGGAAAATTTTAATTTAATTTTACTACCATACAAAAACAAGTTTGTTAAAAATTTCTACCACTTAATGGAATCTGTTAGAGTTTCGTTAAATTTATTCAAAAAATTAAAAAAAAATATAAATTTTATTAAGAAAAAGAAAAACCCAGCCACCACCTTCAACTACCAGCCACCACCCGTTAGCCACCCTCCCCCTTGCCCTGCCGGCACCCAAAGCGTCGCCCGGTGCCGGCGACTCCATCCACTCCCCCTCCCTTTCCTCCACCTACGCAGCCTTTCCCCATCCCTTATCCCCTTCTCGCTGCCCCAACCCCCATCCCAAATCGGAAACCACCCCCCTCCCCATTCGCCCCACCAGAATTGCCCCTCTCCCCATTCCCCCACCGGAATCGACCCCTCTCCCCTTCCCATACCCTTTTCGGCCACCCGTAACCCTAAACCACCACCACCCTGAAACCACCATAAGCGAAACCCTAAAACCTGTTTAGGGTGGTTTCGGGCTGGTGCTTTAAGGTTAGAGGTGCCAGTTTTTGGTGCTGGGGAGTGGGGCGACTTGTTCGGAGGGAGGAGCAGCAGCAGTAGCGGCGCTTTTTGGACTTTTTGTGGTGTTGCGAGAGGTTGAAGGTGAGTAGTGGTGGTGCGGTGGGAAGAATTGTCGTGGGTAATTGAGAGGAGTAAGGGATGGTATGGTGGCTGAAAGGTTGGGTTAGGGTCGCGACGGTGGAGGAAAGGGAGGGGGAGGTGGGTCGCCGGTGCCGGGCGACGCTTTGGGCGCCGGTCTCCGGTAGGGGGTTGCTGGGTAGTGATGGTGGCTGGGTGTTTTTATTTTGTATTTTTTTATGGTGGGTCAAGGTGGCTGACGGGGAGGTAGTGAGGGTGTCTGAGGAGGGAGAGCTGGCAGTGAGGGTTGTTAGATCTCACTAACGGAAATAGTAACTAAAAGTGTTAAGTGGTAGCAATTTTTAACAAACTTGTTTTTATATGGTAGTAAAATGAAAATAAAATTTTCTCCGGTAGCAAAAGTGAAATACATGTGTTTTGTTGGTAGCAAAAGTGAAAATTTCCTTTTTTTTTAAGTATTAGATTCTTTGATATAGACTTGAGAGTTGAACAACTTTTTGATATTCTTAATAATAATTTCCTTTGGTCCTTTTTATTTTTCTCACTTTTAAATTTTTGTCAAGAAAAAAATTTCAACTGGAAAAAACATAAAGGATCGGATAGAGTATTTTTTTATCAAGAAAATATTATTTCTCATCTCTTCAGTTTATATCAAAGAATCTAATTAGTTTCATCAATAAAACATACATAATTCTTTCATTAAAAAAAAAAGAAGAATCTATAATTTATTATCAGTAAAAATTCTATATAGAAATTTTACTAATACATCGATATTAATGTGTGGCCAGGGTTACTTATTCAGGGGTTACTTGATCAGGGGTTACTCGGTCAGTAAGGGGTTACTCGGTCGGTCAGGGGTAACTACTACATTTTTGATCTATTGCAACCCCCAAATCCGTTGCATTAGGCGTCAAAATCCGTGGTATTAGGCCTAATGCAACGGCCATGTACCGTGGCATCTGCTGGCGTTGCAGTAGGTCTAATGCAACGGCTTATGACACCTAATGCCACGGCACCATTGATCCGTGGCAATAGACCAATACCTATTGCAACGGCATAACTTATCCGTGGCAATAGAGTACTGACTAATAATTATGATGAAATTGAACCTATTGCAACGGCATAACTTATCCGTGGCAATAGAGTAGTGACTAATAATTATGATGAAATTGAACCTATTGCAATGGATAAAGCTAATTAATACAATGATAGGAGTACGTATCTACTATAACGGATTGATCATTGTTTTTTTTTTTTTGTTGGGATGGAATGGTAATATAATATTAATTAGTCGGTACAAATCTAAATATACTAACATAAGCAAATTAAAGTATCATTTATATATAATAATTATAATGCAAAATACGTACATTACAAAATATTACTTGCCTATTTTTGGTATGACATACCCTACTAATAATTAATAAAAGTTAGATAATTAATTTGATCGTCCAAAATACAAATTGTCAACATATATATAAGCCGAAATATCCAAATCTTCACAAAGCCGGAACTTGAATAAGAGTAGCCAACATATATGCACCATTTGTTAGATGGCTAGTCACTATACTTCCGCTCCATTTGATTCCCCATACACCTACACGTAAAATTGAAAAAAATAAAAGAAATATAATTAAACTAAATTATAAATTATAATATACCAAAGCCACAATCAACATAGCTCAGATTATGGTTGTTTAAAAGATGGCAGCAAATAATTTTTTTTTATTACACGGAAAGGAAAATATTATTAATTTGTAGTGGCAGTTAGTAGCCACATTAATTACCAAAAGATAAGCATTCCAAGTCTGAAAAACAAAATAGCACCCCGGAATATAACAAAGTACTAGCTAAATAACCAACAAGAAATAGAACTAAGTAGTAGTCAAAGGTATTCTAGAATCAAAAGCACCAGATTCATGCACTGTAGGTGAACTAATTAAGTTGCCACCATTATTTCTGGAAGGGGCACATTAGGAAAATTGTTAGAAGTGTGCACCTAAGAGAAGCGAAAAACTGTAAGTCTGTAAAGATGCCAAAATTTATACCAAGAATTTCCTTATCATTCTTCTCCCATCAAAAAAAAAATAAATAAAAAAAAAAAATCAAAACGGTGCAGAAAATTCATGCCCCCGTACATTGCTTAAATTTTTTTTATACTGCGCCTGATTATGACAAAAAACAGTAACAGGGACAACCCAGCTAACCCCCCCCCCCCCAAATAGCCTATGTCTGAGACTCTCTGAGGAACACCGTCCATGAAAACGAGTCTAGTGCCTCTCCATTAGCACAGCACAAGGACACACATAAAGAGATAACTCGTAGCCTTCAAGCCAAAAAATTCTCACAAGTATTAAGTTTCTTACTCCGAAATGTAGTGTGTAGTTACATTCCTGTTAGTCCTAAACTTAAAACTGCAGTTCTGATTCCTAAAAAAAAAAAAAAAAGAGGCGCATGAAAAGGCGATGTTTACAGCTTTGGGGTTGTTCTGTTGGAGCTAATCACAGGGAAAACAACAATAATAAACAGAGATGATGAGCGCAGCTATTTCAAGTAGTACGATTTCAAGTAGTATGATGAAAACAGAAAGTACGAGTAGGAGAATTCTAGTAGGAGAAGCATTCATTTAAGGTATAATTAATTCTAGTGCTAATATTTATATTATTGTCAAATGACAAGCAATTCTTAATTTTACCACGGCAAGTATTCACCTTTTTTTTTTTTTGAGATAAGTGATTGCGTTTTTGTGAAGACTAACGTAGTAACGTGTCTAATTTTCCATTGATAGGGCATATAATATTATAAATCTCCAGAAATAGAGAAGTTGAATGTCTAGAAACCAACTGCAATTGAACTTTCCATTAAAAAGGCACATTGCATTCCAAATTGTTGTTCTATTATCTAGAAAGAGGAGGAAAGTAAAAAAAAAAAAAAATTAAAAAAAAATCAATACTACCCTCCATCTCGTATTATTGGTCACTTTAAATACTAGTATTCTATTCAACACAATTTAGACATTTTACATTAGTTTATTCATAAAGATACTTTGATTTACCCTACTATTGTGATTTGTAAAGATTTATGGACTTGGCCTAGGTTAGTTCACCTTAATTTTAATAAGGTGATACTCCGTATAAATTATTTTTTTCTACAAACTGGAATAAGCAATAAGAGGTAAACTAAACAAAGCTACTCCGTATAATAACAAGAATTACAACCAGGTTGACCATGACAGCACCACCAATGACGACCACAACCACCCCTTTCCCTCCCAAAAGTTAAATTTTGTATGCACAGCACATTGACTATTTCTACTCCTTGTGTTTCATTTATAGCCGACTTTTGTTTCTAGGAGAGTTGAGTGTGTGTAAGAAAAAATAGGATAGAATAAGAGAAGGGGGTAAAAAGTTGGGTGAGTAAAAGAAAGGGGTGAATACCCAGCTTATATAATCAGGCAGAGCAACTGAAGATTCCAGCAATGAAAATGCTAGAAAAAGGGAAAAATGAAGCAACAGGACAAGCATGAACTATATCAAATATTTGTACAAATGCAGGAAAGAAAAAATGTTTTGGCACATACCTGTCCAGAGACACAGGTTGGCGAGTTGTTTGCATTCTTCAAGTTACAGATGCTCAGAAGTCATGACAAGCGACATCCTAATACACGCATGGTATGCCTATTATTGAAACAAGTATAAACTATGTAACTGCAAAATGATTTTCTCTAGTTGTTATTCCTTTTAGCTGAGTAAAAGAGCATATGCATACTTAGACATGGTTAAAAATAAATAAAATATGTCTTTAGAACAAAAATGAATAGATGTTAGATGCAAGAAATTACCCATAAAATTTCCACACCTTTCTTCACTTCTACATGATTAATTAACTACCTGAATTTGCCTTGCTTCTGTGTGATAGTACTCCAGCTTTCTGTAAAGTTGTGCATTCTTCTTTTGGCATTATAACGTTTAAAAATAGATTGAAAAACAAAAAACAAGGGAATTCCAAATTAATATAAAATGTCAAAAAAAAATAATAATAATAATGACATGCATGCCCCCTTAACCTCCTGGTATACCACATTTAAATACACACCTGTGGCAACTGGCAAATCTTCTCAGTAGTTAAAACTTCATACAAACCCAACATCAGCATTTCAAAACATTCACATGCGAAATGTAAAAAGTAGATTAAATACCACACCAGAAAGGGGTATAAATAATTAAAAATGTTATTCCCAATTATTACAAAGTCTAGACCAATGACAATTTGCATACAAGTTAAAGGCATGTAGGATGGAAACTATTCAAACAGAAGTGCTCTTAGGATAGATTCAAAACTGCTCTGATCACTGATGAACAGATGTCCACCATCAGGAACAAATAAAAACAGTGAGACAAAAGAAGCACAATCAGTATTGGGTAAATGACATTCAATTTATCATGCTATTTTGTCATCTGATTAACTAAATATAGCTTCATTATGCAACCTATTAATATTAAATCAGAGTTCCTTACTGTCCAAGATAAGAGATATCAAAGTGGATTAATTAGCTTGATTACATTCATTTGTTCGTTTAGGTCAAGCACGCACATGAGCTTGAACAATGGCTATAGCAATTAGAAAAAAAGTAATAAACTTGGATCTCTAATGTATAAATGAACCAAATCAGCCACCCCAAATCAATATTCAACTTCATCCCAACCACAAAAGCAAAAACTTCAAATTTAATTCTCAAAAACGAAAATTCGTTGTTTACCCTTTAAAATTCAACAAATGTAGAATAGGCACACCTTCACTAACTTAGGACGGGAAACATAATCAATTACTCAGATACATCAACGAAAACCAGAACAAATTACCATAGAATTTGCAAATGCAGAGCTAGTAATTTGAACAGATTCAAAATAATATAGCCAACCAACCTTAATTTTGGAGCACGAACGTGCTGCCCTTTATTACTTTGATTTTTATTATCTACCCAACGTTGCCTGGTCTGGTTCCCGAGATAGAGACTTGCCAACAAAATATTAGAAAATATGAGAATGAATATAAAAGGAAAACCAGAACAAACAAGACTAATGTGAAAAAAAATACAAAAGAATTGACAGCACATTTGAATGCCCACCACTAGGTGGCTAGGTGAGTTGTCGTGCTAACACTGGTGGTTCTGTTTTTTGGTTGTTCTGTATACTACATTACAGTAGCTTTCAGCTTACCTAAATTTGAAGGCAGGGTTGCTATACTAATGACAATAGTACTCCCTCGGTTCGAAAATAATAGTGATGTACACTATGTTGGCTGTTTAGAAATTAGAATTTTAGGGTAGGTTGTGTCGCACTTCCCTCGGTAGTTTTGTATGTTGGTTTGTTTGTTTGTAGCTCAATTCTATATTCCAAGCTATGTCCAGTGTGAAGATTGAGAGATGTAGGTTTGTACCTTTGTTAATAATGGTTTGTTTTTACATACTTTATGGTAAATTGTTTGAGCTTCATTTGAAATTGTTGTTAAAGATCGCGAAATTGCCATCTACAATTCTTGTTTAATGCTGGTTATCTATGATGTGTAATCACTTACCATTTTAGTTGGATTAATATGGGTAGAGCCCCAATCTTGGGTATGAAGTGTGTGTGATTTCAAATGTAAGAGTAAAAATTGATAAGAATCCCATAATTTTCCATCTTATAAACCCACATAATGAACTTGATAAAGATTTAAAACATATAATCAAGTATGACTTCCAAAATTATTAAATTTAATTACCTTTGACACAATAAAAGTCTATAAAATTCAAAACCAAAGTAATGACATATTATCACAATTTGCTGACATATTTACTACAGTATATATTTGAGGATTTGACAAGGTATGAAAATTTTCAGGGTTGCTTAAGAAGCTTCTTCTGGTCAGCGTTGTTGGCATGGGGTTATCAAGCTACTCGTCCACCTCCTCCCAAAATTCAGTACTTCTAGGTTTAATTTCAAAAATAAAAAAATAAAAATCTCAATTTTGCTAAACGAAACCCAATAGCCGTTTAATTCCAAGAGTTACCAAAGCATAAACTTCATCTTCCATGGCATCAAATACAAATTCCCAAACACAAAAGCAAAAACTTCAAATTTAATTCTCAAAAATGAAAATTCGTTGTTTACCTTGAAGAGAATTTCGAGCAATCAGCTCAAGGAAGGGACATGCAACAATGAAATTGGACCGTCTGTACCGCTTGACTGCCGCCACCACCGCTTGACTGTCGCTATCAGCCACCACCTTTGTCTTTTTCCTCTTCGAATTTTTGACTGATTTTTTTTCGTGATTTTCTGAGAATAGGTACTGTGAATTTCTGGAGTTGAATGTGAGATGATGGGGAAAATAGAGAATTGGGGGAAATTGAGAAAATGGAGATTGGGTGAGAAATTGAGAAAATGGAGTCTGTGAGAATGAGTGGAGAACGAAAATGGGTGAGAAAATTGGGGTAAACATACATCACGTGTGTTTGTTCAAAATTTTGGTGAAAAAATTAGAGGGAACAATAATGCGCGCTTTATATCTAACCTAAAATTTTCATTTGATACAATACCACCGTTGCAATAGCTTTTATTTTTGTTAAAATAGCTAGGCTATTGCAACGGTTCTTTAGAGCCGTGGCAATAGCTCTACCTCTAAGAACATTAGTTTTAACTCCGTAGCAATAGCCTACTCTATTGCAACGGCAATAAAAATACCGTTGCAATAGGCTATCTATTGCCACGACATTTGGATAGGGCGTTGCAATAGCTCATTTTGGGGCGTTGTATTTGATCGAAAATGTAGTAGTGTAATTTGGTCCCTAATAATAGTAGTTCACAATAAATTAATTAATGTGAATCAGGTCTATTTAAAATTTGTATAAATACTAAGTCTACCTCTAACAACTTCCTTTTTTAGGAGAATTTTTTCACCAATTGTTGATGGCCATGATGGGTGTAGCCCGATCCATATATAACAGTCGTCATGTTTGACTGAGCAGACAACTATATATAATGAAACACATGGATTATACTAATTGCTAAACATAGTTCAAATCAACATGCATTTAAATTGCTAATTATAGTACAAATTGAAAAATTATATTTCATAGTTTATCATGCTAGTTTCTACGTCTCTTCCTCCTAGTTACTCATCCATAATCTTAAAAGCCACCGCATGCTTATATAATGCAACTCTACATATAAACTACGAAATGTCAAATGTATTAGTATTATTAATCACTTTCATTCTGAGCTTAGACAATACATTTTTATACTATTTCTTCTAATTTATACTGCTCTGATGTTTATTAACAACTCTGAAGACTCCACCTTGATAAAGATTTCGTATTCTATCTTATTTATGTGTGATGGAAGTCAAAGTTATGAATGGTTATAATATTATGTGATATGCATGATTATATTTGCTAATATATCTTGATAATAATTGGATGCTAGAATTTTAGTTCTATGTTATCTAATATATATATTTTGATTTTTATCTATCTAATATATACATTCTGATTTTTATCTTCTTAGATAATAATATTCTGATTTGTGATATATTTAAGATATATTCTATTATCATATTTGTATTTATCTTATTAATTAAGTTAGATTATATTCTTAGTTATCTTATTAACAAGCTGTTTTTATAAATAGATATATATAATATTCTGTTGCTTACTAATGGAACTATGAGTTGTTATTCTCCAATTAAATAGGCTGAACATATTCAACTACTTGAAGTCAAAGTTTTGAAGCCTTCAAAGTAGCGGCAAGTTTTGAAGCCTTCAAAGTAGCGGCTATGCTGTTGAATTTAAAATTCAAACGGCTACAAGATTTCTTCATTGCTCCAGTAAATTATTGAAGCTTATAAATTGTGTGAAGCGGCTCAAGTGTTTTAAATATAAAAGATATACATACAGAGATATAAAGAGAGTCATAAAGCCTCATTCATTATTTATCAAATATTTTCTCTCTAAGAAATATATTACCTTTTTATGTAATTAAGTTTGAGAGAAAAATAAGAGTGTATCTCAGAGCGAAAAGAATCATATCAAGAGAGATATACTTAAAAGTATTTTTATAATACTTAAAGTATTTTTTGGGTAGTCTTTTTATTTCTAGGAATTGAGTGACTAAAGTGTAATCGGGTGATTGCGGTAAGAAGGGAAACGCTTCTAGCTACTTTAGTGCTCTAAGGGAAAGAAATAAAATATATTGAAATCCTAAGGGTTAAACACCTCTAGGCGGAGACGTAGGCATTCTTGCCGAACTTCGTTAACATATCGTGTGTCCTTTTAGTTCATTTCGTTTTTTATGTTACTGCATTTTCATTCGTTAATTCTTATCTCATTTCAAAGCCTTGAAACCTAGAAAGTGAAATCAGTTTATTCCGCCTTGAAACTGATTTCAAGACCTTGAAATTACAGCCTTTGCGAAAAACGTCCATACTCTATTCAACCCCCCTCCCTTCTAGAGTATTATTGCTGTAATCCTATCACCTTATTGATCCTTCAATTGGTATCAGAGCTTCAGGATTTCACGTAAAGATTTAACAATCTGTGAAATGAATTCAAATGGTGATGGTGGTTTTGCTCAGGGACGATCTGCAAATCGTCCTCCATTGTTTTGTGGCAATAACTTTGCCCATTGGCGCTCATTGATGCAAATGTTCGTGATAGATCAAGATTTAGAGATTTGGGAAATCATTCAAAAAGGCCCAAAAGTTCCAACAAAGATTACAGAAAGTGGTATTACCATTCCAAAAGAAGATAGCGAATATACCCAAATTGATCTAGAAAAAGTTTCTAAAAATTATCGCGCCATGAACCTGCTTTATTGTGCTCTAGACGCAAATGAATTCAATCGAGTTTCTGCATGCAAAAGTGCAAAAGAAATCTGGGATAAACTGGTGGTAACTTACGAAGGAACCAGCCAGGTGAAGGAAACCAAAATTAGCATTTTCGTGCGTCAATATGAGCTGTTTAAAATGACGCAAAGTGAACAAGTCAAAGAAATGTTCACAAGGTTTACTCAAATCATAAATAACCTTGATTCTCTCGGAAAAAAACCTTTACTAATGAAGAAATGGTTAGGAAGATTCTTCGATGTCTTCCAAAATCAAGATGGGGTCCTAAAGTGACGGCTATTGAAGAAGCTCAAGATCTGAGAACTCTGTCTCTGGACGATCTTCTTGGGAAATTGATTACCCATGAAATGTCCTTGAATGAAAGCGATGGAGAGCCAGCCTCATCAACAAAAGGGCTAGCTCTCAAGGCTAAGAAAGAAGAATCCTTCACTGATAATGAAGAAAGTGATGGAGATGAAGAAGATCCATTTGATCAAATTGCTAGAAGTCTTCAAAGAATTCTAAAGATGAAAAAGAAGTTCCCCAGGGGCAATGATAATGGCAGACAACAAAGATATAAAGGCAAGCCATTTAACGAAGTCAAGACCTTGAAATGCTACGAATGTGGAGATGATAATCACCTTGTGAAGGACTGCCCGAAAAGAAGAAAAAGGCAGTCAGGAAAAAGAGATTATAAGAAGAAAGTTATGGTTGTCTCATCAAGTGACTTAGATTCAAGTGATGAAGAAAAATCTAACCTTTGTCTTGTGGCGGATCACGATGAACACCTCCAGGTAATCGTAAACAACTTAATCTCTAGTCCTACTAATGTTCTTTCTGATTTTTTACATAACATGATTATGAATGAAGAAAGCTTAATTCAAGAATCAAAAATTCTGAAAGAAAAGTTAAGCAAACAAACAAGCGTATCTGACAAACTGGCTAAGGAATTAGCTGATCTCAAAGCAGCCCAGTCCACTTTTGAAAACAAGGTCAAGGCCTCAGAGTCAGCTTTTGACACTAAGGTCAAGGCCTTGAAAACTGAAA